ACGATTTCAATGAAACATGCTGACATTTCAACTTTTTTCAATGAATAACTGTTCAAAAAAGGTTGAGAGAAACTGACAGTGGCTACGATGGCAATTTTGTCAATTTTTTGTGTTTCCGGTTTCAGTGTAAAAAAAAGTCACTTTGTTCCCGAGGCTCTGTATTAAAGAGGTAGTACTGCAGGACTGCAACTCTGGTGGAATTGAGAATACAATAGAGAAGCATGCGAGGCTTTTTAACTGGCTCTAATTGACTTCATTTACAGGTTATTCCTAGTTTCATTGGGTTTTCTTGCTTCCTACCGCTGCAAATGAAGTTTTAGAAGACTTCAAAAGCACCCTGGTAAAACAGGCTGGCGAGCAGGTCTGGTAGGTATTTCCAATCAGGACCTGTTGACTGAAGTGATGTCAGAATGCCCTTCGAGTAAAAAGACAAAAGTCAATGAGAGGCTTTATTTCCAGTATACACCCAGAGTGTTATGCAACATTTGGAAGTAGCTATACCAATCAATCTGAAATCTAAAAGAGACAAGAAATAAAATGATATTGCCACAAAACACTTCCTTTTACAAATTAATCACATTAAAACAACACAGACTTTAAAAGCTCGTAAGGCAAATGATTCAGGGAGTGACGTCTTAATGCGGAAGCTGCAGCAGCTTCAGTTTAAATGATGAAACTCTAATCTAGCAACAATGATTACTCATTCATTATTTACATTACGCATCACTGAGAGTGAAAGTTTTTCTTCACAAAGACAGCACTACTCATCAAAGAGGAGGAAATCAGCAATAATTCTTTTTTCCATTCTTCCAATCAGAGACTGAAACATGACCGGGAGTTCCTTTAATTGCACCAGACTTCCTCCTCCTGTAAACCCATTCACATGCATGCACCTGTGGAGTCCCATGCATGTTTAACCTGTTCAATACCTGGTGAAAAGAAAAATCCCCTTACTCCACACTATAAGAGGACACAGGATGGAGGCCCAGAGACACAGCTTCACCAGAACTCTCCCTCTGAGTGACACACGCACAGGTGAGTCTGAATACAGGTGATACTTCTCCAGGCAATGATGATGGCAGCTGATGGACTTGACATAGTGTTTCCTTTATTCTGGATATTGGTAGTTTATAAACAGTTTTTTTTAAATGATCCAATATCCATTTATGTATCTATAAATGCTCATAAAGTATTTTTTAATTTGTGGATTTGAAGTTTTTTATCTGTTTTGATGATCTGAGGAAACAGTGATGAACCTTTTTCCTAAATTAATCAACAATTTTACACAATACACAATTCTTACAAACCGAAACGCTTCTGTTAGCTTTCTCACCAGATCGCCATCATCAGGATGAAGATGCTTATCGGCTGCTCTGCTTCCTTCCTCCTCCTCCTGCTGCTCAGCTGTCTGACTGAACCTGCTGAGAGCCGAACTCTGCATCTGGACAGCTGCTCTGTCAGTGTTCACACACACGAGCTGCGCAAATACTACGCACACATACGATCAAATGCGGTGAGTTCAGTCATGCAATCAAAA